CACAATCAGACCTGAACAATTTCAGCCCTAAATTGCTTCCTCATAGGACTTTCTGATTTCTGTCTCAGTTTACCAATCTACACTACACTCTGCTCCATTTTTTATATCTTTATTCAATGATTTTTAATTGCCTATAGGATAAGTTATGTCCCTCATTAGTCCATCCAGGTCCCCCAACATTTGGCCCTAAACTACTTTTTCCAACTGTATCTCCCAACTGTTTCCTTATATGACCCCTATATTGAGCCAAGTATCTTGCCCTTGGAATACAACTGCTCCCCACATGAGTTTTTGTCCAGGTCATTCCTTTGGAAAACCAGTCACTCTCCTCTCTGCCCATTTAAGTTCGATCTTTAAAGATGCAGATCCAGTCTTAGTTCATTGAAGATCTCAGCCAGAAGTCCTCTATGTCCCCAGAAATCTCATGGCACTTTCTGTTGATTTCCCTCATCCAACCCTGTACCGTACCAGGCTGTTGGCTTTCATATGTGTTTATTGAATTCCCTGTCTAGAGTTTTAAATGCTTTGATGGCAAAAATGAGTTTTTAGCAATAAAGATGTCACTCTAAACAGCTTAGCATTGTCCTGAAAGTACTAAATTTGCTGTGGATTCAGTATAGTTATAACGCTACAGTGCAGTGATTCTCAATATTTTTCAAAGATGAGGATCCCTTTGTTCCCTTTACACTGTCAAAAATATTTTATCTCCCACATGTGTTGTGATTCATTGATTGAAAATTTTTTTAAAACTGTAATGACCAGAAGCTTTTGTGAATTTGATAATGCTTTACAATGAAGTTTTATTTCAATATAGCAGTACCCACCTATATTTGAAAATTAGTAGTGTGGTATTTGTAAGATGCTTTTAAAGGGTGTCCCAAAATTCACGCAAGAAGTAATTTTGATAGAAAACACAGGTTTATAATTAAAAATTGTAATTTTTAATTGATTCCTAAAGTATACAGTATAGGGTTATGTATGAAGTAGCATATCAGGTAAATGGCCTCCATGGCTTTGCTGGCACATACCCACTCTTTTGTTGAAATTTTCCATGACCATTTTGCATAAATGTAGCTGAATTTCGATGAGGCTTATTTTCATCTTGATGGCTTGGTTAATCGACAAAATTGTCGCATTTGAGGTTCAGAAAATCCACGAGTGATTGTTGAGAAACAAATGCATCCACAACGTGTCACTGTTTGGTGCGGATTTTGGGCTGGAAGCATCATCGGACCATTCTTCTTCGAAAATGCAGCTGCTCAGGCAATAACAGTTAATGGTGCTCGCTATCGCAACATGATAATCCATTTACCCAATATGCTATTCCATACATAACCCTATACTGTATACTTTATGAATAAATAAAAAATTTACAATTTTTAATTATAAACCTGTGTTTTCTATCAAAATTACTTCTTGTGTGAATTTTGGGGCACCCTTTATTTATTTGGTATACAGATAATTCTTAGTGAACCTGTGGTTTTGTTGACCCTTGCAATAACATTAGCTCCCCATGTGTCCTGATGCCCCTTTATTAGGGCACATTATCATCATCATCATCATCATCATTTCATAGGGCTGTTGTGAAGATTAAATGAGGTACCATATATTAGATTCATAGCACAGTATTTGGTGTTTTAAGTGATCTTGATCTTTCTTTCCCTTCCCATACCACCATCTGCTTATTTTGAAGATGGGGACCATCTGAGACCTTCTGGGCAATTCAATTTGCATGAGAGTTTGGGGGAGTTAATGTAAGGAGAGGTGGCGTGTCTCTGAGAGGGAAGGTGAAAATATGTTAAAGATCACCAAGAGCAGTAGTTCTTAAACATTTTACTCAGGATTCCTGTACCCTCTTAAATATTGATGACCACAAAGAGTTGTTGTTTATATGGAGTGTATCTATCGAGAAATTTAAAAAATATTTTTTATTATTTAATTTAAACATAACAATAATAAATCAACACACTTTTATGAAAATATATTTCCCCGAAGGAAAAAATTACTGAGAAGAGCAGCATTGTTGTAAAATTTTTCAAATCTTTGTAATGTCTAGTTAAATAGAAGACATCCTGATTCTCATATCTGCTTCTGCATTCAATCTTTTGTGATACTTGGTTTTGGTGGAATAAAGGAAGAAAATTTAGGTTCTTATAGATTTGTTGGAGAAGGGAGGGGCATTTGAATAGCCTTTTAGATAATTGTGTATAGTTTTCTTTGAAACTAAACTCAAACTCAACAAGTGATAATTTCTTAAAGGTTATTTGCAATATGGAATCTGAAGCATATTAATGAAACTTTCATACTCTGTTACATTAAAATTCATTGTTGTCTTGATTTTAAATGGGTCTTTTAATCATGCATGATTTTATAACATCAACCATTGGAAAATATTGGTTCACTGAGTTATGAAGAACTTCTAAATGTTGACACATTTTATCATACAATTAAAAAATACATTCATTATTAATCACCACTGATCTCATCATATAAGTACTAGGAAGCTGTCAGGATCATGGTGACAGGTGCATGATTTTCAAAATTCTAATTTTCATTCAAAAGCTTGAATTTTATAATTGGCAATAAATATTGTCAGTTGTTTTTCTTGAAGTGACAGGCTAACTTTGTTCATTTTTGAGAAAATATCTGCCAAATACCCAAGGTTGAATAGCCATAGTTTGTCACTTGCTCTTTCAAGTGAAAATAGTGTTCCACGAAACAAGCAGATAGTTCACCTTCCAACTCAAATGGCAACATAAATGCTTTTCCTTGAGACGGCCATTGTCCTTTGGTATGCAGCAAAAGTGCTTTATGAGTACTTTCTATGTTGTCACACAAATGATGAAAAAGATGAGGACTCAAGGGTTTAGATTTAATAAGTTAATAATTTTTAGAGTTTCATCAAGGACATTCTTAGATGAAACTGCTATTTTCTTTTTACTGTGTGGCAGTAAAAAATACAGCGATGACTGGTATAGTTTGGTACCATTGCCTTGCTTAGTGCTAAGATGTCAGCAGTACTACCCACCATTGCTTTTGTAACATCATTGCAAATGTCAAACAGCAAATAACATCATACTAGTATTGATGTTTTGACCCGAGGGACCCTCAGAAAGAACCTTGGGAATCCCTAGGGGTCTGTGCACCACATTTTGAGAACCACTGCTCTAAACTTTTGCAAAGGGCCAGCCCTCCTTGGCCATAAAATATAGCTACTGGCACATTTGGGAGGACAGCCAAGGTCTTTTTCAAACAGGGCAATTTGCTTTACTTTTTGGACCAGAGATGGACTTTTTATTTCTTTGCAAAACTGAAGGCATCTGGCTTGGGAGCACAATTATTCTCCACTCACCTTTAAACTACCTCAGCTATTACTAAGTCTCTGGCAGTGATATGTTGATTATGTGAATTTAAAGCCCACAGGAGCCAGAAGAATGACAGATCAGATTCCCTTAAATGAGAAATAAAATCCAGGAGCCTGGCAGAGGGACATACGGCTCTCGCTCCCGCTGACCTTTGGTGTCACTCTGGTAGAATGACTGCGTCTGGGCCAGATGGCAACGTGGCTTAAACGGAGATGTCTCATCCTGTTTCCCAGCATTAATTGTGCACGTTGATCTTCATTGTGCAGTCCATAATTCTTCATCGCCAACCTCATTTAGATTTTTTTGAAGCAGTCGAATTCAAACAGGCCTCCATGAGTCCAAGCAATTTCAAAAGATGCAATTTCTTCTAAATCTCCAAACCCAAATATTTTGATATCCAGTCACTGTTATAGGCTGACACTGAATCTTTTGTCAATCCAATGTAAGTCTAGGAACTTTTAAGAGAATGATATTGAAGGACAGAATCACTATGCCCTAAAGGAGGTGGCTGAATGGAAGCCCATTTAACTTTTTGTTTAAAAGCACTAAATAGGGATCAATTTGTAATGGCAGCTTTTCAAGTACAGTGGGGCCTTGACTTACGAGTTCAATTCGTTCCGTGACGGAGCTCATAACTCAAATTACTCATATGTCAAATCAATTTTCACCATTACAATGACACGTGATGCTGGGCTGATGTTGTGGCGTTCACTGTGACGTTCGCTGCGCCAACTAGTGGTGGGGTATATGAAGCTGGCTCGTAACCCGAATTTTAGCTCGCAACTCAAAGCAAAAAATCGGCCAAAAGACGGCTCGTATCTCGAAAAACTCGTTAGTCGGGACACTCGTAAGTCAAGGCCCCACTGTATAGCAAGATAGCTTCTTAATCTGATAGGGATAAATGGAAGGTCAGTACCTTTTATTTTATCAACAATTTCACCAAATAATATTTATTAAGGGCTTTCAGGTCAGGCTTCTCAGCTATAAACAAGCATATACTGTAAGCAGAGCTATTGCAAGTGCTGAACCAGAGCAGCTCCTGGATGTGGGGTGTCTAGACTCGAAGTTAACATCACTTGTCTATAGTGAAGAATGCTTTTATGACGCAAAGGCTGAGCTTTGAATCTATTACAAAATAATTTGAAGTAGACCCAATGAGCAGCAAAAGCAAATTTAGCCAACTAGGAAAGAAACCTGGCTTTTTTTTCCCTCAGGGTCAGGTGTAAGGACATTTTGTCATATGAGAAATGTCTCAATTTAGACAGAAAAACACTGGTTCTGGGAAAGGAAAGAAGTATGGACATTATATTTGACAGACTTTCCCCCCTTTGTATTCATGGTCTTTGAATTATATGCACATCAATGAAAAAAATACTGAACCCTCATAAACTGCCTGGCAAACAAGTAATAGTAATTGTAAAACAGGAACATTTGCATATGTCTTAATGCTATGTTTTAGTTTTTGCTCAGAATTTTGACTTGCCAGTTATAATAGGGATAGAACATCCATACTTTGGTAAGAACCACTTTGGCTTATTAAAAAATACAGCTTTTTAAAAAAGCCAACAAAATTTCACGTTAATACAATTTAAATCAACATGTAATAGGAGGCCTGGCTTAAGAGAATAAAGTGTGATGGCTGTAGAGTTTAGGTAGGTTAGGTGGAGACTCCATGAGATGGGCCCGTGAGGAATGCATTTGCATGGGGGATGAAGTTGCCTTCTGAGAGTGAATGGTCCTAAGAGAAGGTAGCATTGCTGGAATACTGAAAAGGCTCAGGAAATAGAGGAGGTGGCAGAGGTGAATGGCATTAAACATTCAAATTTAAACCACCCACCATCAGTTTGCACTACCTGAGTCTTTGTCAGGAGCAATCGTTAAGAGCAAGTAAATATTAAAAGAGCAATTTCAGCAAAACCTCTTTAACACACTGGAAATGCTGAGTCTGAAGTGCTTTGTAGTCCATGTAATAGAGTGAAAGGAAAGAGGGGAAAGAAGCGCATTGTTCTTCTTGGACTCAGCAGCACCTCTGGTGAGTATTGTTTCTTTCCTGGGGCAACAGTGACTTTGGTCATTGGTGGGTACTGGTGCCTGTGGTAACTCTCATGGCATTATTGTGCTTTTGCCATTGGTGTAGCCAAGAATCAACAGCCCAACAAGCCAGACCAGAGAAAAGTAAACCAACATAATTTCCTGTCATCAAGCAGAACAATAATGGGACTGGGGATAGTTTTCTGTTTCTATCTATATATATAAAAGCTTAAGTGACCGAATGACCGGTCAACCAGTTGCTATGATGCGCACTGACCACCAGGGGGCAGATGCTCAACACAGGAGCTGCCCCCTGGTGGTCAGTACGCTCCCACAGCTAACCTCCCACGGCTGGCAGGCCAACCTCCTGAGGTCCCTCTCCCCAGCCGGCTGCCCCCTGCCCCCCATTGGTCCCAATCACCAGCCAGGCCAAGGGACCTCACCTGTGCACGAATTCGTGCACCAGGCCTCTAGTGTTAAATAATTCTAATAAGCAAAACTTAGTGATTTTTTCCAGGAAATACTTTTTCCTAAAAGATAAAATCATGAGCCAAAGAAAAGAGTTTACTTAACAAGAATAACCTGGTCCCCGTTAATATTCACTTCAGTATTCTCACCTCCCTGTGCCTACCAATCTATAGCTGTCATGTTATAAAACCTGCCCAATTAACCTTTAAAGACCTGCCCTGAAATCAGCCAGCCCAGTCCCTGAGATTCTAGCCTGCTATCATCCTTCTTCTAAGACACTATTTAGATTCTATTAAGGCAATGTTTTCCCATACTGCAGTTAAGTCTTAAAAACTTTCTCTGATTGATCAGTGATTTTTCCCCCTGGTGTATTCTGCGGATACTTGACAGTTGACATAGCCAAAAAGGTCAATGTCTTCAGGAGAGACCCCGTGAGGTCGGGGTGGAGCCAAGTGATTATTTTTGAGGTCCTGTTTCTACCTGCAGGAAGGTGAAACCTGAGGAAATTTGGCCTAAATTCCCATCATCATTCTTTAAGCAAGGATACCAAATGTTTAGCCCTGTGAAATTACCATTTTAACTACTTTTTACATGACTCTTCCTTTGTAAGATAAATATGGTATTCCTTTCCTCAAGACAAAGATGATTTTAAATTAATTGTATCATGACAAAATCTTAAAGATGTGTGTGCATATATGTACATATACACTGAGTGGCCAGATTACTATGACCGACCAGATTATTATGACCACCCCATCAGTACAATGAAGTGAATTAGTTATGCAAATAATAATAATAATAAAACCTTGAGAGTATTTGCTTAGGAAGTTTTCAATATGCAGTATTTTTGGAAGTGTCAATGAAGTACTGATTGGGTGGTCATAATAATCTGGCCGGTCATAATAATCTGGCCACTCAGTGTATATACCTGTGTACATATGTATACACACATATACATATATGTGTACACATACACATTCTCACACATGCACACATATACCATCAAGAGATTTAAGGCAGTTTAAAAAATGCAGTCAGATAAAAATCAGGATATCCCAGAAGGCAATGCTCTGTGGGACCTGCTGGGAACTTATTCTTTTGGCTGTGCCTACTTCCCTGTTCCCATCAGTCTCTTTTCCAGTTAAAGACCACTTTCTCTTATGGCACATGAAGAGGAGCCTTTGCAACCTCAACACCGAAGCTTCTTTTCCCCTTGTCCAAACTATGCCTGACTCCCTCCTCAGAGAGGTGTGATAGGGCAGGGGAGAGGAAGAAAGCCCTTGGAGGTCATAGCTACATAGGTTGGGAGTGGGATCTTATCTAACCTCTGTCTCCTGGGCTCCATAATGGGCTCCATTATGCCAACGTGGACCCCACAGATGCTGATAATTGGTTACCAGATGCTGAGAGTTCTGGATCATTGTGTGGCCTTGATCTTTGAAGAATTCCTTTAAAGTTCATTTTCAAGCAGGTGACCAAAGGCAGATTTGTGTGCCAAACTCTAAGGACTGTGAACAGGAGGTCTGCTTGCGAAGAATTTGAATATAACAAAGAAGGGCCTGACTATAATGGAGGTGAACTGTTGAGAAAACAGAAAATTTTTCCTGAATGCTTTTGGGAAGACTTTAAGGTAAACATAATAGGTAAAAGGGATGATTCACCAGTTCATTTCTGTGACAAATTTGATTTTCCTATTAAAATCTGTGGGCACATGATTCCTTGCAAGAATGCTTTTTGCTATGACTGTGCTAACTTATGCAAAAACAAACAAACTAAATCCCCCTGAAAATGGAGATGTGTCCAGGCCATAGTGTTCCTGTGCTGCAAATTGAGCATGCACAGTTCTCTCTTCACGTGTAGCGCTGTCCAAGGATGCAAGAGAACATATTTTTCTCAAAGAAACTTATAAGCTCATATCAACCATTGCCATAGGAAAACTGAAAAACTTGTTACTTGTGCTCCACTGGAAAAGGTTCATCCTTGTATTTCCTCATCAACAGCTGATAGCCCTGTAATGTTGCTGGTCAAGGACCATGTGAGTCACATTCCACCAGAGCAGTGCACCATGCTGTCTGCACCTCCTAGGCCAGCGGTCGCCAACCTTTCGGGCCTCACGGACCACCAGTGGTCCTCAGACCACCGGTTGGCGACCGCTGTCCTAGGCAATGTGTGCCACACAAGCACAATGGATCAGCGACCTCCACCCATGACTTTATATCCATTAACAGTAACTTTCCCCCTGGATAGATTATTGCTCAGGTGCCACCTTATATGAACTCTTCTCCTCCAGGATCTCCTCTATCTCAACATGGTGGTTCACTTGCTTGAAAATGAGCTTTCAACCATCACAATCCTAACTTTTTACCCTAGTTAACTGAAGACCAAGAAACTCTGGGCCCTCCCTTTACACAACCAAATGAAACAAATCCTGGTATATGGCCTATATCAAAAGGATTTTTACCTCCTCCACCAATGCAAGGTCTACTTTCCCCAACCTCACTTCCTGGATCATATAGTTCAGATCAGACAAAATACTGTACAGACCACATTAACAAGGGAACTGAAGAGATAAGGAGGAAAAAAGACTTAAATATAGTCAACCTTATAATTAAACTTTGACTATATTAGGAAGGAAAAGCACTTATAGAGATAGCTATAACACCAATGACTTTAGGAATTATTTCATAGGAATTATTTCAAGTTCTATACTACAATGTGCTGTATTTTAACAACTTTGTTACTTTAGTGTGGTAAAATGACCCAGAGGACCTTTTGTAATATGAGTTCCTGAAATAAATTTACATTGTTTCCCTTTCAAAAGTATTGTTTTTGTTTTGGGGTGTTTTTTTTGTGTGTGTGACATATTCTGTTACCTTTTGTAGGATTAAATTTCAGTATGGTTGTAAAGATGCTATTTTTATATAAACTTAAGCACAGCCACATACTATCTTTAAAAAAAAAACATGGTTTGCCACTAACTATTCAAAATATAAGTAGCAATCTAGAATATAGTGTAAGGCAGACAGCTAAATGGTAGAGAATTATTTCACATTTTAGGCACTGCAATTTTGAGTATAATAAGTATATAATGCATTTCACTTGGATGCCTTTTCATTTTTAGGCAGCTCCAGAAGCACAAAAATACATCGGAATTCCAACACTGTGATAGATTTATGTTTGTAATGTTAAAAGGCACTCCTAAATCATCTGGAAAGATATGGCCAATGTAATTGACTTTGTAGGCTCCAAGCTGGTGGGGATGCTGTTACAGTACTTGTTAGTACATTTTTTTTCAGAATGGTTGGAATCACATAATGTACCATATTTATTAGTCTTAAGTAACATTATATTTTAGCACTGTTTAAATGGTGTCATTTAGATGAAGCGTGTGCTACTCCAGTCATTGTCTTCAGCTAAATACTTAGGGCTGAATAGACTTTATTATAATTCCTTATTTCATGGTAGAGTTTGGTCCTTTTCTTATGGTTTCTTGCTTATTGGGTTTTAAATTACAATTTAAATGCCATGGAGGAATTGGAATAATTTATTAATGATAGGCATTCTTATAGTCACAGACCCACATTTGCTTGGTTTCATTACTGTGTGATAAGAGTTTTTCCTCTTACTTGAAGTAAAAGAAGCTATTAATTTCTTTCCTATTTCTTTTATTGGTAAAGGATTCTAAACTTGGAACATATTAGCATGAAGTTAACAGTGAAGAATACTGGATAACTTTCTATTGTAGAAAAGTAATGACTAAATTATATAAATTTCACTGCTTTATAAGGTGCTTTACAATCAGCTTTTGCATTATAGGGACTTCTTATATTCCTGCTAAGATGACCATTTACACTTTATACAGAATTCATTTGTATAAATTGACATTCTTAGGATATTATTATAAATCATTTAAATAAACCCTCATGAAGTCTTTCCTCTGCTAAATGGTACATAGTATAAACATGAAACATATAGTATATGGATAAATTTATTAGTTTACTAGAGGCCCGGTGCATGAAATATGTGCACTCGGGGGTGGGGGGTTGTCCCTCAGTCTGGCCTCTCACAGTCCAGAAGCCTTATGATCAATGGCCCCAAAGAGGTAGGCCCTGCCCACCCAGCCGGGGCTCTGCAATGGATCGCCCCCACAGAGGGAGGCCCTACCCACCCGCCGCAGCACCACTGGCTGGGTAGCCTGTGCCTCCCTCTTTGGGGTGATCATAGAGCCCCCTTGATTGATCGCCCCGCCGGCAGTGGCCTGGGCCTCCCTCTGTAGGGCAATTATGAGATTGATCATGTCCTGCAGAGGGAGGCCCCGCCCACCCGCTGCAGCCTGCCAGTCAGTGGCCTGGGCCTCCCTCTTTGGGGCAATTGTATAGCCCCCTGATGGATTGATAACCGGGGCCTCCCCCTGCAGGGCAATCATGGGGCGATGGCCAGGCCCCCCACCAATAGCATCGCACCCGCCTTGGCTGGCCTGGTGCCAGTAGGTGTCATAGTGTGGTCATCTGGAAGGTCATCCGAACAGTTGTTCTGCTGTTTGGTTGTTCGGTTGATTTGCATATTATGTTTTTATTATTATAGATAGTACTAGATGCCCAATGCACAAAATTCTTGCAAGGGGTCTCAGCCCTCATAGCCCAGCTTCGTCCAGAAGGTCGTCTGGAAGGACATCTGGAAGGTCGTCCGGCTGTCCAGTCTAATTAGCATATTATGTTTTTATTGCTATAGATATGAATTTAGAACATATTTCTTTTGGGAAAGGATGAACTCATTGCTAATTTATCATTTTTATCTTGCGGGATACAGGCAAAACAAATTCTTATTTTGGCTGATCAAATGGCAACACATATCTGAGCTTAGAGCTGAAGTTAGAAATAATATAAATGGACATTTTAATCTTTACCACTCTGAAATGACAAAAACACTTTTTTTTAAAGTAAGTGATTTTTTTCACACCTAGCAATTTGAGTGTCCAGTGTTAATTCAATATTTCTGGTGAGAAAGCCTTGTTATTAGAAGCACAGAGGGCAATAGTGTGAAATATTGGTGGTAAATGCTTCTATTACATTATTGTAGGTACTTGGGTTGGTATAAACTGGATTCCCTTTTTTGCCTGAGTTTAGGAGCTACTAAAATATTACTGTTAAGATACAATATCATTCCATGTTTTCTGGAATAAGAAAATAGCCAAAATCACTTTAAGTCTTTTCATTATCTATGCAGAGCTCTCCTACTTTTATCGAAATCCACTAGGGTTGAATGTGGTATGAAACCACTTACACATTGTATTGGACCAAAAAATGAGTATCATGATAAAATTTCACTTATTATAAAGACAGACTTTAAAACTTGATTTATTTTCATTTAGGTTTAAGAAATATATGTTATGCAGCAAAGTGACAAAATTTTAATTTTTAAGTTTTTAATAATTATTTATTTTTAAAGGTATTACATATGTCCCTTTCTTTTGCCCCCATTGACCCCCTCCAGCCTCCCCACCCCCACCCCAGGCCCTCACCATCCCCTTGTCTGTGTCCATGGGCCATGCATATATGCATATAAGGTCCTTGGTTGATTACCTCCCACCCACTCACCCTCCCCTACCTTTCCTCTGAGATTCCACACTCTGTTCCATTTTTCCATGTTTATGGATCCACTCTTCTACATATGAGTGAGATCATGTGATACTTGTCTTTCTCTGACTAACTTATTTCACTTAGTATAATACTCTCCAGGTCCCTCCATGCTGTGACAAAATTCTTAAATGGCATTAGGAGTAAACTCATCCAGTTATTCTTTGAAGAGCTGTAGTGTGCAGAAAGATAATAAAATTAATGCTAATTTTTAAAAAATTAATTTCAGAGAGAGGAAGGGAGAGGGAGAGAGAGATAGAAACATCAATGATGAGAGAAAATCATCAATCTTCTGCCTCCTGCATGCCTCCTACCGGGGATTGAGCCAGCAACTGGGCATGTGCCCTGATGGAATCAAACCATGACCTCCTGGTTCATGGGTCAATGCTGAACCATTGAGCCACTCCAGCTGGGCTAATGTTAATGTTTCTTAAAGAAAAAAAATAATATGAACCCTTCCTTATATCAAAAAAGAATTTGAAGCTATCCTATATAATAAAGAGCTAATATGCTAATTAGACCAAACAGCAGAACTACCGTCCAGATGACCTTCCAGATGAAGCCGGGGCTGCGAGGGGCTGTGAGGGCCGGCTGGGACTGCGAGGGCCGAGCCCCTTGCAAGAATTTCATGCATCAGGCCTCTAGTAATGAACATAAGTCTAAATTAAGTGTATATACAGTGCATTATATTATTCTGAAGGTTGCTGAAGTGGCATTTTAATTCTTCAAAACAAAATGGATGCATACATACTGAAAAAATAGTATTTATAAGAAATAAAAATAAAAATCATGGAAAATAATAATGAAGGTAGAATAAATAATAAAATCAAGCCTAAATTAAAGTTGGAACCAGAAAAATTTAAACCAGAAGAAGGTCCTGCACCATTGTTAATGTTGGATGAAATGTGGTTAAAGCAAAGAAGCAAGTCAAAATACACACATTTCACAGAGAGCATACATCTGATACTGAGCTAAAGCCCTTTTGTGGGTGCTCATACAATGGTCACTGTGTAAATCTGACAGCCAGAGAGAATCTCCTGGAGAGTCAGCCAAAAATAGCATCATTTGCCTTATTCTTACAAAATTCAGATTCAGTAAGTTTGGGGGATGAGTGGGGTTTAGTAATCTGCCCTTTCAGTAAGTATCCTAGGTGATTTGGAAGCAGTTGCCTGACAGATTTAGTCACTAGTCACCCAGTCTCCATTCTCAGGGGTCTATCATCTTTTGTGTGTGCAGCAACCAAGGTAGTCATTTGAGAATGGAAATTGGTGCTCAAATAGTTTTGCCCCAGACTTCAGGTTCAATTTGTTTTTCGTGACTTTTGTGTACAATTAGTCTGCTGGTGAATTTTCCACACTCATGAATGACCTCTATGCTTTCCTCCCTCCCTCTATTCTAGCCATATAGCCCTTTCTTTGATTCTCAGACCACCAAGCTCATTCCTGCTTCTGCATTTTCACTTGCTATTTTTTTCCTGCTTGGACCATCTTCCCACAGATCTTCACTTCATGTCTCTGTTCAAATGCCTTTCTTGTTACCCTGTGGAAAATATCCTACCCCCTCCTTCCCCCTGTATCTCCTAATCCTGCTTAATTTTTCTTCATGGCACTAGTACTACCAGTTATATAACTTACTGCTTTCTTAGTTTTGTCTCCTCTACAAGAATGCCTTTTTCAAGACAGGTGAGTTTTTGTATTGGTCCCTAAAAGAAAGACAAAGAGTGTTATGTAATTATAAAATATTTTTATTTTGTTTCTTGCTGTTTGCTTCGTTTTATGTTTTCTTTTGCCCCAGGTGAAAATTTGGGCTATCTCATGACTTTGGTCTAGTCTTTTAGATGATGGTAAGCCCTGTGGTTAGTAATTAAATGTCCAGTCCGATATTATGGTCAAACTTTGGAATTGATTTAAGGGTCAGGCCTTTCCCCACTTCCCCAGCTGTGGCTGGTAGAAAACTAGCAGTTGGGGGAGAATGTTGTGGTCA